GAGCATGCTGTCTGTGTGTTTGTGTGTGTGTTTGTTGTGTGTGTGCATGTGTGAGTGTGTGTGTGTGTGTGGGTGTGTGTGTGGGTGTGTGTGTGTGGGTGGGTATGTGGGTGTGTGTTTCCTAATTTGTGTGTGTGTGTGTGTAATGAATGCCAAACCCTGGGGTGTGGTCATGTGACACAAAAAATGAAACTGTTTTTTTGCTTGGTGTGTGCATTCATCTACTGCCACAATCCAAAAGTGAGATGCACAGCCACGCCCCAGGGTGTGGCAATGTGTGCTTGCTTATTGATCAGCGCCAGCCTGCCAGACTGATTTAAGGAAATTCTCCTTAAAGGGTAAAGATTGCCTTTTAAGCAATGTGTAACAGTCATGTCATTTGCGCCTAAAACACAAGATGGCGCCAAATAGAGCTGTTGGGGTTTCTCCATACACCCCATTCTTCAGCTTTGTCGTTTTTCTTTTTTATCTCTCTCTCTTGTCACAACAACAACAACAACAACAACAACAACAACAACAACAAGAAGAAGGCCAATGTCATCATCCCTCAACTCTCATCCTTGGCGCTCAGCAGCGACCTACGCCCCCACGAACCACTCTGTGTCATCAACTGGTGCTATGGCACCGCCATGAACCATTCACCCCAAGTCTCTGGCCATGGTGCCTGTGACCAAGGTGGTGGTGGGAGCTCATCCCACCCTCCTACCAACAACAACTGCTGTTCAACCATTGACCATGGCTATTCTGCCATTTCAAGTCCCCCCCATGGCCTGGCCCACCATGCCACAGTCTCCAGCCTTCTACGGTTTTCCAATGCATGTGCCTGCCTATCCACCAGTGATGGTGCCCTTGAGACCATGGACTGCGCTCAACACAGAGAGATGGCTGGCCTCGTCGGCCCACAACACCTATGGTCAACAAGTTGCAGCTGTGGCATGGCCACGACTGCTGCCCACGGTGCCCACCAAGCCATCAGTGGGAGCTGGCAACCAGGCAGCCGCCCCGCCTGCGCCTACACCATCCCAGCCACCGGTGGCTATCCCCACTCCTGTGGCAGCCACAGCAGTGGAAGAAGGATGAGGAGGAGAGGTAGCGGCAGCAACGCAGACCCCGCTGACCCCACCCCACGCACTGGTGCAACTGCCCCACCAGCCCAGTGGCTATTCCTGTGACGCACACTACCCCAACATCCGCCCCCACGCAGCCACATTCAATGCCGTTGCCGCCTACACCAACCACATCGCAGCGTCGGCACCGGGAGGCATCAACAACAACCACAACAACAACAACAACAACATCAGACCAGGCCAACAAGAGGACGCCAACAAGAACAGAGCTACTACTGCTGCTGCCAATATGGAAAAGGTAGCCGCACCTCTCCATTCCCCTCTTGCAACACACACACACACACACACACACACACACACACACACACACACAGGTATGAATGTAGGGCGTCAATATGACCCATACTAACATGAGTGACTACTCTCTTATTCAAATATATGACAGAGGGCAGCACTGGGCAACTCACAGGGAAACCTGTGCAGGTGGTACTTTGAGGCTGAGAAGGAGCTGTATGAAAGTGGCCTACTTGATGGTTGTGGCTACAAGTTGGCCTATGGTAAGAGCAAGAATGGCCAGGATGGCAATGAAGCAGAAGCTGAACAGCAGTGGGGAAAAGATGAGACAACAGCGAAAGAACCGCTGGAGAACAGGCACCAATCTCCCTTCAGGTGCAACATTGACCATGAGTACATAGAGGCGGCCATCCCTGAGGTTACTGAGTGGTTTGACCACAAGTACACCAAGGATGTCAGGAAGGCTTGAGCAGAGGTATGATTCTTCACACCACCTTGTGTATTTGTGTGTGTGCGTGTGTGTGTGTGTGTGTGTGTGTGTGGTGGGCAGTTGTGCCACACCCTAGGGTGTGGCCCTACGGAAATAGAG